GGACTTCTTACCTAAAATCTAGATTCCCTCAGAGTGGGTGTTCCAAGAGAAGGAAGCAGAAGTGGTACGGCTTCATCTGTCATGAACTGGTATGGCATTGACAGCCATGTGGCATCATTCTACTGATCAAGTTCCCAAGGTTAGCCCAGATTCAGTTTGAGAGGGCAGAGACTACACCTCTTCATGGAAAAAGTATTAAATAATTTGCAGGTGTGTTTTCAGACTTTCTCAGTGACCAAAACGGCAATAGCAGAAGCCAACGCTGCGCTCTTATGTGGCTCATTAAAGGCCCAGGGGACAAACTAGCCATTGATGGCAGTCTGATTACATTGAAACATTTGCATTGAATATGGGACAGAGCCTCCTTCTCACCAGAAGTTAAAGCTGTTCTGAATAGGAATCTCCTTCTTTACCTACAATTCTAACACAAAACCCACCATCTGTAGATTTATATGAAGAATGCCATATTCATTGCCTCAGCAGTTCATGGAGTGTCACTTCTGACTAGAGAACCCAGTTTATAGCCAGTGAAGTAAGCTGGTGGAACGCTGTATGGATTTTAATGGACTAGCTTTCAGAAGATTCCACTACAGTGTCAGCGGAGTGATACGATACTTTGTGAGGGTGAGCACCCTGATCTCCACCCTCTGACTCTTCCTCACAGCTCCAATCACCACTAGACATAGGACCTGTTTATGCATTTAGCCGATTAGTTACTACTGAATATCTGAAGAACAGAGCAGTTGCTAGCACTCAATAGTCAACCTGTCATTTTGTTGAATGGATATTTATGGAAGCTTGATTGAAATGCTGATTACCATGATCAGAGTAACATTTTGTTTAGATGTGTACACGTAATATTAAATTTATGATGTTCTAGACAAAGAAGAGGTAAAATTATCAAAAAAAGTACAGAAAGATGTGGGGGAGAAAAAGTAGAGTGGGAAGGAAGAAGGTGGAGAAATGGAGGAGAAAAGAAACATGACTGAGGTAGCAGAGAAAAAGGAGCCGGAGAGGAGGGGAGATGGGGACTTGGAACATCCCATGGACACTTCAGACAGTTCATCCCAAAAAGAACCTATGAGGCAAGTACATGATTCCCCCATTATAGATGAAGCCACGAAGTCTCCAGGAGCTAACAGATTTGCTGAAGGTCTTTACAAAGTGACTAAGCTGGGATCCAATTCAGGGTGTCTAATTTCACAGTGAAGAGGTTTGCCATTGTACCATGCCACCAGATAAAGCAGTCATGTCATAAGAAGAAAAATGGAAATGCTGTTTAAAATCGTATTAAAGCATTACAATTGAGCCTGAAATTACAGTTTTAACTTCTGAGCTTGACCAATCTGCTGAAGCACCAATTTAATAATCAGTTCTTTTATCTATGACTTCATCTATTGCACAAGCGGGCAGTTCTGTGATTTATAATCAATGCTTCATGTAATTGTTCTGTGATTTTACTGAGCATTTTTGCTAGCTAACCCTTCATTACAGTCAAGTGAGAAGTTACAGCATATTTAAGGTACACATTTTAATTTTAAACCAATATGAGAATACTACTAGGCAAAATAGCAGTTAAAACATCGGAGTTGTAATAGTGATCAATAACTCTGTGTTTACACCATAAATGATAGGCATACACTCTCTGCACTGAGAAAACTGGCCCCGGGCTGTGGCAGCTTGAAAAATGCACACATGCCCAGGATCCTGATTGGGTGGAGAAGTGGAGGAAAAGGGATTGCAGTGTTTCCAGACCCCACGAGTGGTGTTCTCTTTCTTGCTCTCTCTCTCTTCGGTGTGAGCACCTCTGGCAAAAAAGAAAAAGAAAAAGACTATTTTTGTGACTATTTCCTTCGAAAACACTGTCTCATTCAATTGTCTATTGACAGATACAATTTTGGAACCTTAGAAGAAAAAAACGTTAAAAGAATTCCCTTCTAATAACTTGTGACAGTACCTTAGGACAAGTCCCTTGACTTTGAGGAGTCCTAGATTCATGGTCATAAAAGGTGAAAGTGAGTTCAATTTCCTTCAAAGAAGTCAGCTGAGTTTGCTAATGTAATTATTTGTATTATTAATGTATTAACATCTGTCTGCGCCGCAAAAACATAAGCTCTGTGAAACCCAAGACAGTGTTTCTTTTTGCCCACCATTATAATATCCCCTCCACCTGGGCATGGTGGGTGACTTCAAACAATATGAGATGAAGGAATGCAAAAATACTCACTTCAGAGGATTTCTCTGAAGATCAAAAATGAGATGGGCATAGGAAAACATTTGGCAAAGCAAAAAGTACAAACAAAGCCACCACAAAATTCAAATGTATTCTTTGGGAGACATGCGATTTCCCAGTTTCAGGATCATCTTAGATCAGTACATTCATCATGATCATGAGCATGCTCTCCATGAACTCTCCAACCCCTTTCTCCTAACACACACTGCCTTGCTGTCTGCTCCAGTGACACTGACTTTCTGGTTGTTCCTGATGTATGTCAAACATACTCCACTCCAGTGTGTGTGTTTGGTTTTCAGGGGGAACACTCTTCTCCTAGATAACCATCTGGCTCACTACCTTACAGCTGGATCTCCTTGGGGAAGTACACTACTGCCCTGCCAGTATTTTAAACTATAAATCTTCCTCATAGCCTTCTGCAAAGGGGCCCCATTTACTGGGGTGACTGTGTTTTGGGAGGGCAAAAAACACCCAGACTGCTCAGGTATTACTGGACACTGGTTCTGAACCAACAGTGATTGCTGAGGACCCAAAACAACACTGAGGTCTGCAGTTAGGGTGAGGCTCTTCTCCACTTCTGCCAAGAAAGACAGAATGGACAGAGATTTATATCTGAATATAGTCAGTTTAGCTTCTGAACATCACAAAGTGAATTTTCCCAACATGAATACACTTCATACCAGTCCAGATGAGGATACGATACACGTTATCGTCAACAGATAATAATCACTAAATGCATTGCGTCGTTAGGAACATGTTTAAAGTTTCCATGTTATCACAGGCAACAATTTTACTAAACTTCCTTCCTCTCTTCTGCATCAAAGAGCATGTTTCTGCCTCCTCAGGGCCTGCCACTTTTCTGTAATAATCTTGTGGCAGCCACAGAGTTGACGCCGCTCAGCCTTCTCTTCTCTGGAACCTGCTACAAGGAATTCAGAACCGACAGCCTCACCCTCAGGCCTCCAGAACCCATTGCCTCACTGGAGCTGAGAACACTGTGCTCAACCTGGGTAGCTACCACCAGTGACCACACAGGGGTAGGAGCCAGGCTTGGCCATTTCCACCCAACATGTCCATCTTCTTTAGTGCTGGACTCCCTAATGGGCTGGACAAGGCTTAGAGATGCACTGAAGTGGGAGGCTTCTTCCAGTTAATCATCCTCCCTGTTCCTTCTCCCACATTTTACAGGTGTCAAGTCTGAAAGCTGAAAATCTAAAGGCTTCCTCCTTCTTCCACTCTCTTCTCTCCTTCTTTCCCAACTCTTATCCTAACAAGTCTTCTGCCCTCTGTGTCATGGATCTGCTTCCTGGGTGATTCACATATAAGGTCTTGGTGTCCCTCAAGCTTAACAGCTCTCTGGTCCCAAGCAATGAGCCTATGTCTTGTACCAAATCTGTTCAGGTTGCTGTTGCTATTATATGTGTGTGTGTGTGTGTGTGTGTGTGTGTATACAATTTATCTACTAAATTTGGATATATATATATATATATACACATATATATGTATATATATATACACACACACACATATATATACATATATATATATTTATACATGAATTTTATATATATATATATACATATAAATTTAGTAGATTAAAATGACCAATGTATTTGCTCACAGTTTTGTGGGTTAGATGAGGTTTTCGGAAATCTCAGCTGGGCAGGTTTCTTGGGGCCAGTCCTGCTGTTGCAGGTTGATGTTAGCCAGGACCACAGCAGTCTGAATAATTGACTGGACTGGATGGCAATGGTAGTGCACTCATTTGTCTGAAGTTAATGTGGTCAGCTGGGAGTGCTGCTGCTGCTGTTGGGTGAAATGCCTACATTGCCGTTTGGAGTATGGAAGTCCCAGAAGAGTCGGACTTCTTACCTAAAATCTAGATTCCCTCAGAGTGGGTGTTCCAAGAGAAGGAAGCAGAAGTGGTACGGCTTCATCTGTCATGAACTGGTATGGCATTGACAGCCATGTGGCATCATTCTACTGATCAAGTTCCCAAGGTTAGCCCAGATTCAGTTTGAGAGGGCAGAGACTACACCTCTTCATGGAAAAAGTATTAAATAATTTGCAGGTGTGTTTTCAGACTTTCTCAGTGACCAAAACGGCAATAGCAGAAGCCAACGCTGCGCTCTTATGTGGCTCATTAAAGGCCCAGGGGACAAACTAGCCATTGATGGCAGTCTGATTACATTGAAACATTTGCATTGAATATGGGACAGAGCCTCCTTCTCACCAGAAGTTAAAGCTGTTCTGAATAGGAATCTCCTTCTTTACCTACAATTCTAACACAAAACCCACCATCTGTAGATTTATATGAAGAATGCCATATTCATTGCCTCAGCAGTTCATGGAGTGTCACTTCTGACTAGAGAACCCAGTTTATAGCCAGTGAAGTAAGCTGGTGGAACGCTGTATGGATTTTAATGGACTAGCTTTCAGAAGATTCCACTACAGTGTCAGCGGAGTGATACGATACTTTGTGAGGGTGAGCACCCTGATCTCCACCCTCTGACTCTTCCTCACAGCTCCAATCACCACTAGACATAGGACCTGTTTATGCATTTAGCCGATTAGTTACTACTGAATATCTGAAGAACAGAGCAGTTGCTAGCACTCAATAGTCAACCTGTCATTTTGTTGAATGGATATTTATGGAAGCTTGATTGAAATGCTGATTACCATGATCAGAGTAACATTTTGTTTAGATGTGTACACGTAATATTAAATTTATGATGTTCTAGACAAAGAAGAGGTAAAATTATCAAAAAAAGTACAGAAAGATGTGGGGGAGAAAAAGTAGAGTGGGAAGGAAGAAGGTGGAGAAATGGAGGAGAAAAGAAACATGACTGAGGTAGCAGAGAAAAAGGAGCCGGAGAGGAGGGGAGATGGGGACTTGGAACATCCCATGGACACTTCAGACAGTTCATCCCAAAAAGAACCTATGAGGCAAGTACATGATTCCCCCATTATAGATGAAGCCACGAAGTCTCCAGGAGCTAACAGATTTGCTGAAGGTCTTTACAAAGTGACTAAGCTGGGATCCAATTCAGGGTGTCTAATTTCACAGTGAAGAGGTTTGCCATTGTACCATGCCACCAGATAAAGCAGTCATGTCATAAGAAGAAAAATGGAAATGCTGTTTAAAATCGTATTAAAGCATTACAATTGAGCCTGAAATTACAGTTTTAACTTCTGAGCTTGACCAATCTGCTGAAGCACCAATTTAATAATCAGTTCTTTTATCTATGACTTCATCTATTGCACAAGCGGGCAGTTCTGTGATTTATAATCAATGCTTCATGTAATTGTTCTGTGATTTTACTGAGCATTTTTGCTAGCTAACCCTTCATTACAGTCAAGTGAGAAGTTACAGCATATTTAAGGTACACATTTTAATTTTAAACCAATATGAGAATACTACTAGGCAAAATAGCAGTTAAAACATCGGAGTTGTAATAGTGATCAATAACTCTGTGTTTACACCATAAATGATAGGCATACACTCTCTGCACTGAGAAAACTGGCCCTGGCGGGTCACAGCCAAGGACAACAACACAGTCTGATGTTTCAAATCAATGGAGGCACTTCAGGGTTATCTTCAAAGTCTGGATCTTCTTCACTTGGTATAATTTTGGGTTCAGATTCCAGTCTTCTGGGTGTGCGTTTTTTCTCTTGAACTATGTTAGTCACATCAGGAAATGAATGCTTGCTAGGATCCACTTCCAGTTTCTCAGTTTTCTTGCTTCTACAACAGCAGAAGTAGAGGGAAATTGATAGCACATCATTTTAAATAAAGTTTCAAATAGATTCAAACCATTCATTCGTGTAGTCAGCAAACACTGGCAAGGGCTATGCCTAAAACACAGAGGCAAAAAGAGGAGACTGAGGCTAGCTCTGTGGCATAGCAGTCACGCACTGCTCAAGAGAAGCTGGATCCCGTATGGCAAGCACAAATTGAATTCCCAATCTGGGCAACTGAAATAAGATGGGCACGTATGTGAGGGCCAGGCATCTGATGAGCTGGAAAACTGGAGGAAGGAGATCATGGCATGACCAGATCCTGTGGAGGTTGCCTATCCCCCACACATGTGTGCAAAGACACTACATCATGAAAAAGAAGAAAAGAGAGAGGCTGTCCGAAGTAGCTCAGAGTCACTTAGAAGCAAGACTAACCCAGGAGAGACAGTGCTCAGAAGTGCTCCAGGGCTGTGCTAAGACACAGGTGGTCACAGTGGAGGTCATCTGGGAGACTCTCCTGGGAATTTGTTTTTATGTAAAATATAGCATGTGTGCACATGAGAGAGAGAGTGCGCGTCCTCAGCAGGGTCCCATCATGCTGCAATCCCTTTTCTTCCCCGTCAGTGCTCCAGAGCCTCAGGATGTTGGGTACACCTAGTGAGTTTTCGGATGACTTAAGGATCTGAATCTGTGGTTGGTCATGAAGCTTCCAGCATTGCACTTCAGTACACCACAGACTGCACCACCAAGTGGGCAGTCTGGGCCAAGTTTTTATTTGTTTGCTTGTTTTTGTGATAACTGAAATGGTACAGCAGTCTAAGCCCTACAGCCAGGATCAGTAAGATAATTATTCTAGACAGGTCTTACTCCTGAATGCAGCTAATCTGACTTCTAGACCCTGCTGCTGCAGACAGACCAACCTGTCATGGTTCAGAAGGGCATTTATAATGCAAGGTCAAGTACACAGCAAGCTTATCCCACCAGCTTCCTCTCCTACAAGACCCTGACCCCACCACTGCACTGGGACTCTCAGCAACAGCACAAAGGAAACAGCAAGGAAGAACCTCTAGTGGCCAGTGGTTCCCAATATCATAATCACATAAAACACTCTGTAGGTAATTCGGGTCCCCTGGCAGATTTCCTGGCTGTTTGGACTCAGTAAGCCTGGAGCCAGGCCTGGTGATCAATGTTTTTAATAGCGTTCTTTCTGTGATTTTGATAACCAGTCAATTTATCTTGGGATCACTGTACCACTCATTCCTTCATTCACTCATTCAGTGGATGAATGTTAAGGGCCTACCATATTCCAGGTATTATGGCAGGCACCACAGGCACCACGATCGGGGCACACAGGCAAGACTTTTGGGGATATCTCATAGTACATGATGCTGCTCAAACAGAATTTATTTTACTGTCATGTAATTGTCTTATCATCGGTCTGTTTTTCCCACAAGACTGACATCTTAGGGTGAAGCTTTTTGTCTTTCTCATCTTGTATCCTTGGCATAAGGTATACTGAATAAATACTTGTTGAATGAGTGAAAGCAGTATTGTTCTTTTGAGGAAATAGTGAAATTATATAAGAAATTATCTCTGATCTAAGGAAAATCAGTTGGTCTAATCCAGGAGTTTGAAAGTTAAATCCGCAGACTAAATTCATGAAGCAGACCCTTTTTGTTGAGGAGAGGAAGACTTAATTTTCTATAGGAAGTGTAAACTGTCTACTCTCCTTGTAACCCTTCCTCTCATTTCTGTAATCTGCTCAGCACATGAAGGCCAGTGAGTTTTTGATTCCTTCAAATAGTAAGACTAAGACACGTGGAACTGCTGAAAAACATATAAAGTATAAAAAAAAATAAAATGATATATTCTGAAGACCAAGATTATATACTATACACTATACACATCACAGGAGTAAGAAGAAGTTAAAATGAGTTTGCCCATTCTGTGAAGAGGTAAAATACATGGACTATTCTATGGTTTGAATATGCTTTCCCCTAAATTAATGTGTTAAAACTGGTGAGAAATTGTGAAGTTATTGAGGGCACAGGAACTTACTTTGGCTACAGGAATAAGAGGTGGAGCCTTTGAGAAGTGATTAGAATTGCATAAAGTTATCAGGGTGTGTCCTTTGCACGTGGATACAGGTGGCTTTATAAGGGAAGAGAATGACACAGACAGACACATGCTCTATTCTGCATTAGGTCCAGTCCTTGGAAACCCCCATCGGCAAAAAAGACCCTCAGCAGATGTGATCCCTGAGCTTTGGACCTCCCAAACTGTGAGCTGAATAAACCTTTTTCCTCTTAAATTACCCAGACTCGGGCATTTCTGTTATTAGCATCAATGGACTAAAATAAGATCTGAAGATGCCCTGAATGGTGTTAGAGGATGTGAATGAGCAGAGAAGGCGAAACCAATGCTCCAGATAGAGGAGTGGTGCTGTGACCGTGGCCTGGATACACCTGCTCTCAGATGTCTCTGTATCACGGTATTCACTGTCCCCTCTGCCTTTGTAAGGACAGAGTCACGACTTCGGCTATGCTGCTGCTTACCATCAATGCACAGGAAACAATAGCTGCCACACGGGCGGTAGCTGACGGTGCAGAAAAGAATGAATACAGCAGGGCAGAGACAGCTATCTTTAGAAAGGCCCGCTTTCAAGGCTGGGCTTTGGCTGGTAAACAGTTCCCTATATCAACATGAAACTTCCCCTAAGCAATCGAGATAGCTCACCGTGGCCAGCAAAGCATGTGAGCAACATGGCTATGCTTTCCTGCTGGTAGTACAGAGCACTGCTCCACACTAGGCAGTGGGTCCCTCCCTGCCTCCAGTGAAAACCCTGAGCACTGAGTCTTTAATGAGCTTCCCTGATGGACATTCCACAAGTACTGGTGCGGCTCCCTGCTGAGAAGAGAAGTGTGTCCTGGGTGAGGCCATGTGGAGAGGACTCTTAGAAGCTTGCACCTGGTTTTCTCTGGGACTTTGCCCTTTGCTGATTTTGCTTTGCGTTCTTTTGCCATAATAAATCTTAGCCATGGGTATGACTATCTGCTGAATCCTGAGAGTCTTTCTAATGAATCACTGTTCTGGGGTCCTCTTGGGGACCCCCTGACACGCTGTACTTTGCTGAGCCCTGTGCTAAGTCTTTCACTTGTGTTATCAACTCCTCAGACAACTACAGTCACCTTCCTCTGACCCAGGAGGAGGACAAGAAGCACAGTCAACCAAGGTATCACAGAAAAACACAGACATGGCAGCGAACCCATTTCAGGTCTGTGGTACTAACACTACACACATTGTTATGGAAGAAGTAAGCACCATTACACAGAACAAATAGTGGATTGTTTATTGTTGTTGTTTTAGATTTTTGTCATAGGATGTGTGCAGGGAGAGAGAAAAATCAAGAAGTCACCCTCCTGCCCCCTGCAGAAATGGCCATACTGCAATCCTTTCTCCTCCATTCCCCTCTTGGGATTTTGAGTACGCATTTATGTACCCAGTGTGTTTTTCAAGAAGCCAGGTACAGGACTGGAACCTAGCAGTCACCATGTGGATCCAGTGCTTTACCTACCACTGGATTACTGGGCCAATAATGGATTTTCTATCCTTAGCATTTGGCATATAAGATTACATCCAACAAAAATGTTGTCCAAGTCAGCACTAACACTGATCCTCACTGAACCATAATGACAGTAACTCCACTACATGTTAGATGCTCGTTCATCCCACTTATTTCTTGATATTGAAGAAACAAAGTTTACTACAAGAAGTCAGGAGGCCGTAGGCTATCTAGATTAGCTTGCAAGATTCTGACTCCTACCCACTAAGCTGTGTGCAAGTTGGGCAAGTTACTCAGTCAACCTGTGCCTCAAGGACCTCATCTTTAAAATCGAGACCTCATCTTTAAAATCAGCTCCATAAACATAGGCCTATTGTCATGATCAAATGAGTTTTTGCATTTTAAAGACTAAGAGTGACACCAGAAATACTGCCAGCATTCAGTGAGTATTCAGCATAAGTCAGGATGAGGGAGTGTAAGGGGAAGAGTTTGGTAGTCAACTTGGCAAGCTTTCTAGTACATATCTTTTAGGTGCCTACTGCTGATCAGTGCTAGGAATTTAAAGGTGAGTGGAACAAGGCTTGTGCTCATAATCAAATGGGAAGAACACATGTTTTCTCAGTTATTATGCACCAGTGAGATAAATACAAAACCATGTTGAAGCACAGAGAAAGAAATGACCATGAAGGCCTGAGAGAAATAGGAATCATACAGGAAGAGAACCTGGCCTAGCACTGAAGGAGAAGATGATTTTTCTAGATATAGAGGGGCAAGGACATTCCAGAGAGATAACACCGACGAAAGGTGAGGAAACATAGCTCACTCTTAGCCTGCCTCTTCCTTCAGAGGATGAAGTATCTGAGGTGGGAGATGGGAAGAGTAGTAGTAGGAGTGTCTGGTCCAGTCTAGCCATGACAAGGCCTCAGGAAAGTATGGGTGGGTGGATGGGTTAACATGATGAGGAAGGCTGCCTAGAGAAGTGTGTTCAACTCAGATGCGAAGTCTTTGGCAATATGACAAGTGTTAATGACACAGTGCTTGTGACTGGGATCACTCAGCTCATCATGTTTATCTTTCCACATTGGGGATACTCAGCTACTAGTGTGTATGCTTATTTTTAGGCAAGATTGAGCCAGTGATGTTTTTCAAAATAAGTGATTGAAATTTCACAACCTTTTAATTATACTAGAAAGTTCACTGAAAAATGGAATTAAAGTATGAATTTATTTGGTGCAAAACATTTTTAGAACCTATGCTAAAATCTGGGTATGGGCATTCTTGCATCCCTTCTGGAGATGCTATGGGACAATCAGTTTCCTGGCCTTGTCCAGTTTCTTGAGCCTGACTGTATTGCTTGGCTCAGGGCCCCTTCCAGCCTTGAAGCCAGCTGAGTCTTCCTCATGCTCAAGCCCTCTGACTCTGCTCCTCCTGTGCCCCTCTTTCGT